TTGACTTCTCACTTCAAACTACCATGACCCCACTATATGTACTCATCTTACCTTTTCTCTGCATTTGTGTCCATCTATTCCCGATCTCGAATTTTCCTCATTATGATGTTCCTCCCCTCTGTGAAGTCCGAAGTCAGCTAAAGGGCTAATGATAACTATCAAAACGCCTGCCATTTGAAATAAATAAATTTGTTTAAATATTTCTAGTAATGATAAAACTATGGGGTTAGCTAAAGTAGTGAACCGAACTTTATTTGTCAAAATGAACTTGGGAGTGTCAATTTAGTATTTTCCAAATTCCATTTTTAGTGACTAATCCTACAAATTCAAATCTATGTATTCATTTAATTCCTCTTCCCTTCTTTCCCAATTCACTAATTAAAAATGTAAATTAATCTTTTGTTTTTCTTGAAACACACCAAATTACCGTTCCAGCAGTCATAGCCGAGAGTAAGGCAAAATTCTTATTGAATACCTTTTCATTTATAAATTTTAATTGCTTAACTTTCATTATTTAACCTAGAAGATGTAAAAAGAATTCTCCACTTAATTGCAAGAATTCAGCTGCAACTGTGAAGAATGGTAGCGTAGCTGATATATCTCCTGTTTTTTTCCATTTCAATATGCACGTCCACCAACTAAACTTATAACTAAAAATCAATCATTAATCAATACTCTGACTATTTGGAAATCAATACTTAAGTACTTTTAATTGATTTTGCAATAAAAGAGCCCCTAAATGTGGTTTGATTGGAGTAATCTTACAAATGGGAAATGAAAACTACTACTAGGTTTTACTAACAGAATTTTCATGTTTTTTTTATTTATTTCAAATGGCAGGTGGTTTGACAGCTACCATTAGCACTTTTGCTGGCTTCGGGTTTCATAGAGAGGAGGAGGAGGAACAGAAGAGTGATCCACAGATGTAAAAGAGACAGGCAGTCACAAAGGTAGAGAAAAGGTGAGGTTAGTATTGTGGAAGTGATCGAATATGACATACAGTGAGGTTATGGTGGTTTGAAGTCAAAAGTCAACTGCCAGTCAATAGACTTTTTTGCCGTATGAGTATACGTTGCCCAGGGTGGACCATGTGGAGGTAAGTCTATTGCACACCCCTTGAATTTGTCATATGCGGAGGGGTAAATGAAGAAATATTTTTTATTCGAATATTACGAGTTTTAGTAATTTGGGGATGAATTTAAAATGTTTGTTAATTTTATTGAGCAATGGTGTTTCCCTTCAAAGGAAACATATGTCACGGGTTCAACCTCCATTGACGCCTATCCTCTAAATGAAACGGGCAACTGTCTAGTAAAAGAAATTGCTGAAAGCGGTTTCCCAAATAGATTCGGGACCTACTTTTGCGTCTATTTTAAAATGGGCACTTATTTTAGCATTCCCAATATTTCTTTCAGATTGTTTGAACCTTCTACGTATCGTCTATTCTCATGTAAATTTGCCAATCTGCTCTCCTTGATGCCCTAGTTAGTAGAAGGTAAAGAAATCCAGCTCTACTCTCCAACTAGCAGAAAAATTTCCCTGAATGACTCATCTCGTTTCGCCAACTGGCTATCGCCAACTTGGGAGAAACTGTTGACTTGCGCTCACCATGCGAGCAAGCTCTCTAGGCCTAACTGATTATTGACCCGTCAGCTTTGAATTACCCGATTTGAGCTTCAAGTTAGAGTGGTCTTCCTTTCCAAGGCTAATATCTCTGCTTTCTCTGGAAAAGTGAGATATTTACTTCCAATGCAATGCTACCAAGGTTGACTAAAGAGACCTTTTTCGCCCCGGAGTTTTTTGAAAGTTGTGTGCGCATGCTATCAATCGCGTAATGAGGAAGTGTGGTCACGCGTGGAGAAGACTTCGCAACAAATGATCTTCTGAAAAAATTATCCATTTTCTTAACTCCTACACAACTTGTTTTTGTCCCGAAAATTACTTCTCATAGGTTTACTTTCAAATGCCTATGTGAGCCTAGTATAAGTAATGGATTGCACCCCTCGGTGACCAAACCCCATCCGCACATCAATTTTCGAATTTTCATGCAAATTTTCTTGGAAAAGATTCAGCTAATCTGCCTGTTTTATTTATTTCTATGCAGTTGTTCTGCTTTATTTCTTAACATCTGTTCTCTTCACTCGCCTTTTCCTTTGGCAATTGCGCTGTTGTGATGCAATATATTTTGATTGCTTCTATCGATTTGGTTAATTTGGCCAATCTAGTGTTAGCCAATTAAAAAATTCGTAGTCTCGTGATAATAAATAAACTGGAAATAGTCGGGGTTCAATGAAGTTTGATAATCCCAGATATTTCCCCATGGGAAGATAGATTGGTAGGATCATAATTAGTCAATTTGCAAATGTTTAGGAACAAATGAAAACTTTTTTCCCTCACTCAATTAGGAATCTCTTATATCTGTCTTTTCTTAGCATAAGCTACTTTTGAGCATAATGAGCTGTAATGGGCAATTGTTCTTTTGTTTTGTCAATAGTAAGTGGGCATTGTCAGTAAATACACGTGTAATACTCGTGTCAGTCAGTTACAGCCAGTGGGAGTTGAAGTTGCCATGAGAATCGATCAGCCAATCATTGCGAGCCTGGCACAAATGTAATGCCTACTGGTCGACGCGATTGGACAAATCAGCATCTTGTCTACTCTTACACGCGTGCGCATTTGAACGCACCGAACTACAACTTCCACTACTGCTATTACTAACAGTCTGCCTGAAGGGTACATGCGGCCTTGAGTTCCCCAACACCACACCATTATTGTATAGAAATTAATCGATAAATCTCTGCGCTCTCACTCTCGGTCGAATCATACCCCTTGAGAGCATTAACCAATCAACGAATTCCAAACAGATATAAAATCTTCGAACTCGGAGAGTCAAACTCTTTGGGAGAATTGTTTCCGCGCAGAGGTTCAAAATACTATTCCACCACTGGTATTCAATAGACAATTACAGTTTTCAATTAAAAAAACAGAACGAGGGCAAAGAAACTAGCTTCAGATGTGGCGAAGTTGGTTATCCAGATCGCCAACGCCTTCACGACACGAGCGGAAGGATGTGTCAGGGGAAGAGGATGTGAGGTGTCGTTCAGCCACACTACCAAGACCTCAAACACAACACGACGATGAAGATGCGGATAAAAAACCCAACAGTTCTTCTCTGAAGAGAGGACGATTTGACTTCCTTCGACCCAAACGATGGCGTACTCTTTCAAGATCCAGGCATTCCTCCCCCAAAAAGCCAAAGTCTACTTCACCGGATAAGCACTCTGAGACAGCCCATAATAGTAGCGATGGATCATCTACTCCAACCAATGAACAATCGAATCGGATGACATTACCCTTGGGGCTCAATGATTCCATATCCACGGAGATGGATGATGCAACCCCTAAGGCTGAAGATGCGAATGAGTTGTTGAAAGCGGCTCTAAAGGAAAAATATCTGAAAAATTCTGAAACAGGAAGACTCAGTAGAAAAGACATGACCAAAGCGCACCATGAACGAGATCACACCACAAAGCGTTCTCTGTTCACTTTCGGTAGGAAAACACCGGACAGATCTCAGAGTATCGCGGTTAGTTTAGCCTTATTTGTTCCCTCTTTTGTTCAACCTGAGCCAACTTTAGGATAAATGTTAAAAAGTTATTTTGAATTCTACAATATTCCATCGATTTTTAGTTCTTGGAATTTTATTACCAGAGGCACTTATGCCAAGGGTTCTTTTATGTTATACTATAACTGAATGCAGAATTTGGCACTATTTATATGTTTATTACAGTGTTTGGTTTTTCGTTTTCGAATGACATGTATTTTTTAGTGATTTTTTGAAAGAAAAATTATACCGTTCCCAGTAACCAGCCTTTTTCCAAACTGCAATTATAATATTATCCATTGCAATTTGAAGGATAAAATTTTTTCAATTCGACTCCTTTTTCAACTATTAATTGAGCGTATCATTATTATTCTAATGGGTATTAGTTACCTTGTTCATTCCTTGCCAAGTTTATTAATATTGCTGATTGGTTCGTTGAAATTGTGTGGGGGGGGGGGCGTTAATTTTTGTGCCTTTCGTTTTTTTTCAAATCAATCAAAATTAGTTGACTGTATGAACCATGAATGAAAATTTGCAAAGATTAACGAAATTAAGTGGATTTATTGATTGATGACAGTTCAAAAGAGAGGGAATCTAATCATTTTATTCCACATCGTGAAATAGGTGACTAAGGAATTGGCATTATTGATTTCCGATAAAATTTTTCCATAGTCAGCTTAAATCAAATGTGCATAAGAGTCCACGATTATGCTAAGAATTAATGAAAATCTCTATGGAAGGGCCCAGTAAATAGAAGATTGTATTAAAAGAGTTCTACTTCATTCGATTTGGTTCGAGATTTTTGGTTGTACATTTCTTGCTTAACGGCAAATTTGCTGTTTTGATATCTAAAATGATAAGACAAGCTCACATAATTTTATGCTTCTTACATTATTACAGCTAGGTGCAGGAGGTGAATAAATTTGACGAAGACAGATTAGGTAAACAATCTTCTCTTTTTCAAGTCAAATCGATTAACTGGAAACTGAACGTAAATTTATGTGCATGTTTTTTCCCCTAAATTTCTCAAGTAGTCAGACAGGACTTATTTTGTGCTCTCGTTAAATTTTGACTGCCAAACCTCAATGCGCTACACCCAACTTGGACGCCAGAGGAAGGAGTTGAAATTTATGTCAACATATCATCACGTTTTGTTTGCATGCGTATTGACCATTGTTGAGGTAACAGACCATATATTAACACTTCCATGCAATAATAATAAAAAACATACAATTTATCTCCAACAGCCTTGCCTTGCGACTATGCTTAAAATGCCTCGCGAATTTCATATATATTAGATAACGTATTTACAAACATGGAATAAGAAGCACCACAATAACCACGATATTCCAAAGCTTAAGTTCCGTAATTCGATCTTCGGATCCGCCTTAATTGAGCTCTTAATTGATTTGGATAATTGGTAATGACACTGGATTCGAGATTGTCATAAAGTCTTAATTAGAAGATAAAATTAAAATATGATCATCAAAGGTATGCTAAGTGTAATAGAGCTCATAACGTCCCTTTCGTAACTTATCAATTCAAATGTCACATTTCCATTTTTATCTGTAATTAGTGAATAGTACTTAATGAAGAGGTGGAAATCCATTGATGGGATCTTTGATTTATGACTAATTTGTGAGCGTTGCATACGCAAAATATCATTCTAGATGCCTTGATGATAAAAGCGGAAATTTCTCCACGATGAAATATAGCAGTTTACACCATCTCACCACTACTTCAAATTATTTTATTTGAGCTTTATTCGAGGTTTCTATATTATTAACACAAATCAAATTTTGAAATAAGAAATACAGACATAATCGAAAATCGTCTTTACGAGGGGCTCTCAATTGAATATCGCGAAATGTTAATTCTTACTGTTAATAGAAGTTAATACAGCTTTTTCTTGATTTTAAGCAGTAATTTTAGTTTTCGATCCCAGTACAAAGGAATGAATTGGTGCCAGCAGCTTTTAAGACAATTTTTATTCGAATTCCTGGCGTAAATGAGTGGTCAGTTAATAGTAATGGCAAATCGATATTCAATGAAATTTGGAAAATACTATACATAAATGAAGTATGAATTTGGTCGAAGTAACATCTTTACTAACATTTTGCTATTGCATTATTTGCATTTTAAGAATCATATTTTGAGGTTTATATCAAATTTTGCGCCAAGAAATTTTTCATTCAGTCTTGTTTTTTTTGGCAAAGGATTTCATGTCTTCGTTACTTTTTTGCTTGTTATCAATGCTTTGTGCGTCTGCTTCTTGTTTTTTTTCTGTTAGCAAGTTAGGCGTCCTTTTTATTCTTTCCATTTGGATCAAAATTCGCTAAGTTTATTTTCATTTTAAATATAAACTATAGTTCAAAATACTTCCAGATCTGAGTTTCTCTTAAACATGGGCACTCCTGGATCCGTTTAAATTTTCTTTAAGAATGCGATTTTTTCACTCCTCAGTCTCACTGAAGAGCCAAAGGGAAGACTTGCTGCCCAATCGACCATTTTTTCTCAA